AAATAAATATGATTATAACCCTCGACAAAGGAAATTATGAGTGCGGATCAGTGTTCGAAACTCACAGGCGCCAACGTTCCAAATACGCCTAAAAAATGAAGGCTCTCCGCCAACGTGGCCCCTAAAAATTGCCCCCTAAAAATCTGGATTTTCACAGGAAGTCACAAAAAGAAAGAAAAACATATCTATTTGAATTGAAAAAACGCAGAATTTTCAGCACTACAAGTGAAAGCCTGCTTTTTCTATTCTTCACGATTTCATTCTTAGTGCTTTGGTCATCCCCAAGTTACAGCTACTACTAGTTCTGTTACGAACGCATCTTCCGTCTAACTTTTCACCATATTTAATGTGCCGTAATTTATAGGAAAAAAGTCAATTTGGCCCCTAAAAAATCTTCAGTGGCGCCTAAAAATTGGGCTTGATGCGCAATATGGCTTCTAAAACTCAAAGGTGAGTTTCGAACACTGGGCGGATCGCATTTTGCAAAAAGGAACCAGCGCGATTACAGTGTTGTAAAAATGTTGCTTCTTCATAATAGAGAGTTTATCTTGAATTTTGTGAATTTTATCTTTAAAATGATACTGCTTGGAAAAACGAGTACGAGGATATCCTTGGTTTCAAAATTGGACGATTATTAGAGGAAATATGACGAAATAACCTAATTTGCTAAAATACATGTGTTTAAATGGGAAATGCCGCCAGATGACGTCATAAGGCGGGACATTTTTTCACTTGTACATCTGTTTTTCTTCAATTTCCCGTGTCAGAAAAAAATTATGAAAAATACTGCGAACTCAGCTCATTAGGCACTCTCAGATGAAGCGATAAACTTTTTGTGCGCAAATTCTTCATTATCTAAAAAATCACTCAGAGTAGCAGATAAATTTTGCTCCTTTCCGAAAAATTGTTAATTTTACAGAAAAATAACGGTGTAAATTTGAATACTGTACATATTAATTAAGTATTTTCAAGAAAATAAAAAGAGTTACACGATTTTGTAAACACTGTAACAGCGCTGGTTCTTTTTTACTGAATGCGATCCAAGTGGGAGTCAGTGGTGTGGCGTGCTTTGCAATATATCGATTGCTTGACACTTACTTTCTTTTTCGCTCGATGAATTTTTCGGTTGTCACTCTTAAACGATGGCCATTTCGACTTCTGTGGAAGTCATCATCAGGTACTTAAAACTAACAACGAAAATAAAAATAAAAACCGAAGCTAAAAACTGACGTTAAAATTCCACGTATTATCGCCGGCGACGCGTCGCGATACTAGTCAGTGCGATATCTTGCCGGTGATCAGCAGAATTTTGATCAATACAAAAGAGAAATGTGAAAAATTGGAAGCAAGCGGGGTGTACAAAATAGAATGTAACTGTGGGAAAATATATATAGGCCAAACAGGAAGGAGTGTGGCAACAAGGCTGAAGGAACACGTTGACTGTGCCATACTAAAAAGGAGAGGTCAGTCATCGTTTGGGGATCATATAATCGACACTGACCATAAACTGGAAAATTGTTATGCGAAACTGGAGAAGTTATGTCAAAAAGGCCGGAAATTAAATGTATTAGAACAAATCGAAATAATGAAAACACCTAAGGAACAGCTACTTAATTCACAAATCGAGCAACAGGTGGCACCAGTGATCGTCCCCCCCCCGCCCTCCTTCGTGACGCAACACAGTCAGCTGATCACCGGCAAGATATCGCACTGACTAGTATCGCGACGCGTCGCCGGCGATAATACGTGGAATTTTAACGTCAGTTTTTAGCTTCGGTTTTTATTTTTATTTTCGTTGTTAGTTTTAAGTACCTGATGATGACTTCCACAGAAGTCGAAATGGCCATCGTTTAAGAGTGACAACCGAAAAATTCATCGGGCGAAAAAGAAAGTAGGTGTCAATCACGTAGTTCCCGATAAAGAAACAAAGGATTAGTATATCGATTACTTTGCCGTTTAAACCTATGGAGAACGATCGATATACACGCAACGAACACGTTTTAATCGATTCTTTACCAGAGTTTCGAATAGGAAAGTGTGGATGATCGATCAATCTCGCCTCGGCACTAGTGGGAGATGAATAGGAATATTTTAGTTTAGAAAAAGTTCAGTGTTTTAGTTTGGAAAAAAAGCTTCTAGATTTTCCGTAATTTTCTGGTAAACCTCCGGCTGTTTTGCCGTTTAAACCTATGAAAAAGAATCGATAAACAGGGTGTTCGCAACGAGCACCTTAATAATCGATTCTTTACCGAAGCTTTAAATGGGGAAATATCGATAATCGATCATTCACGCCTCGCCTCTGGTGGGAGTTGAATAGGAATATTTTAGTTTGGAAAAAAAGCTTTCAGATTTCCTATGATTTGCTGGTAAGCCTCTGTTAAGTCTCAGTATAAATGACCTCAATGAAATTACGGACCGATTTACAGAGAGCGTAGATGATTACGGGGTACGAAGAACGGATTTTACGAGTGCGTCACTTGATCTAAGTATAATTGGCGCTCCTGACGAAAACAGCGTGACTCCGATTTTGAATTGAAAGGATTTAGGTTGGCGTATTTTAATTACACCTCCCACCTTGCTTTGATGATGCTCACAGAATCGAGATTCTGCGAGAAAAACAGATTAGTTCGTGGATCCGAAAAATTCTATTTTCGACCGGATTTTCTGGTTGACTCGCCCTGGCATCCGGCTGGGTAAGGTCAACATTTAGGTTCTCTCTCCCATACTAGGTTTTCGTAACAGAACTAGTAAGTAGCTGTAACTTGGGGAAGACAAAAGAACAAATGATGAAATCGTGAATAATTAACTTAAAGCTTTCACTTGTGGTGCTGAAAATTTCGAATAATCACTAATATGAAAATTCAGATGTCTAGGGGGCAATTTTTAGGGGCCACGTTGGCACAGAGCCTTCCTTTTTTAGGCGCCATGACCGATTTTTCAGGCGCATTTGGCGCGTTGGCGCCTGTGAGTTTCGAATACTGAGTCTCTTATGTGAGCCAAGCGACGAATGGACCACTAGACAAGGTACGAATTTCAGCATTCCGATACATGTTTCGTAACTAAAATTTCACGTAAAACACGACGCGCACAACAAAAATTACCGCAATCAACCCCTTACAAAGATATTTAATGATTCTTGATGCGTGAATTCAAACCACCCGCTCATGAAAACTTGATGCTCTCCGTGATTCACATCGCGCGCTAAACGTTATCATGACAGTCTCTGCGTTATAAAAATCTGGCAAACTCAGTCTTGACGCTTTGGCTCAGCTATAGAAAATTGCTAATAGTTTGAACAACACATGGTGGGAAATGAACAGTGCTTGATTGAGAAGCTCGCTGAAACCGTTGTAGTGGGCGATTCGACTCACGTAGAGCTTTGAGTTTCTTGTGAGCGGGCAGTTCAAAGTCCTCGTAACCAATGTGAAATAAAAACGTTAATATCTTCGTTAGGAGTTGGTTTCAGTCATTTTCGTTGTGTGAATCATGTTCTACGTGACATTCTGGTCAAGTAACATGTATCAGATTGCTTAAATTCGTACCTTGCCTAGTGGTTCATTACTGGAACTCTCGAGATGAAGGTTGAAGCTAAGGGACTCGAGCCTGATGCCGGATCTCTAATTATCCCTTTGGCTCTGGGTCCCCGCCTACTCCCCAACGCCTATTTTTCTCTGCGCCTCCGCCTACGCGGCGGCCTCCGGCTTTCGATCGGGAGGAGGGATCGGCGGCCCTTAATAACTGTCGGTCGGCAATCCAGTTCGTGATCGCTCTTTTGTTTCGCGCGGGTTCATTCATGCTTCTTACGCGGAGGCTCATTTGTCACCCGGCCCAGTCGTTGAACTTCGATTTTCGGCTGACGCGCCGCCCTCCTTCCCCCCGGGAAGAGCTCTGAAACCGATAAGTTGCGGTAGAGGACCTCCATACTGAGAGTCAAGACAACACCCCCTCATGGAGTCACAAACGGGAATAAAGATTACGCAAATTGGCAGTTTTCCGTAATCTCTGATCGGCTCATTCTCAAATTCCTTTTTCCGTTCCTTCTCTCATTCCGTACATGCCGAACCTTTTATTCCCCGGTCCATTCTACATTATAATCTTTGCAATCGGTGAAAAGCCGCTAACACACGTACAATCCGAATGTACATTCTGGCCTACTGCGTATGCGCGGGCATCGAGAATGCTCCTCATTTTGTTCTCTTGAACAACTATAAGTTAAAGGAATGAGTAAAAGATCGTCGCGGGTTTCTTTTTCTTCTCGTCAAACTGTACATTCTTTTTCAGGAGAATGATGAATGTACATTCTCGATGCCTGCGCAAGCGCAGTAGGTCAGAGTGTACATTCGGAGTGTACGAGTGTTAGCGGCTATAATGTAATCTTCATTCCCGTTTGTGACACTGTGGAGGCCTAAAATACGGGATCCAATCAGAAATGGTTTCACCTTGTCTTGACTCTCAGTGTAAAGGGACTCTAAGTTGCGGTGCCGCGCTGCCGTGACAGCCAAGAGAGCAGTAAGTGCAAAAGTGAATTTTCGAGAAAACGTGCTCAGCAACGTCTGACTAGAAAATGTTATTGAAAAGAGCCTCCGTTCATAGAAGGAGAGAACACAAAACGCCTTCAATCGGGAATGATACTGTGCAATTTACGGAAGCTCGAATAGTTGTATGACTCTCCCATTTGCAGTATTACCATTTCTGACAGGAAAATTTTATTGAAAGAAGCCTCCGTTCATAAATGGAGAGAACGCAAAACGCCTTCAATTGGGAATGATACTGTGCAGTACACGGAAGCTCGAATAGTTGTATCACTCTTTCATATGCGGTATTACCATTTCATATCCTCCGCGAGGATACTGCCGTGATAGCCCTGCGTTACAAGATAGGTAAGTGCGAAAATGAAGTTTTGAGAAACGAGCTCAGCAACGTCTGACATTTTAAAATGTTCTGGTCTTGTGCTTTGTGTTGTGCTTGCATCGTTAAATCTAAAACTTTTTCTGTTACAGGAAATGTAGGATGCACGCATTTTTCTTAAACAAATCCTCCAGAAGACGATGTAGAATATCACCACAACTTCGAGAAAATGAAGATTTCCCGACACAGTCCTAAATTTTGTTCCGATCCGCTCGATTTCAGGCTTGAACTTACATTTTGAAGGTAAGTTAGATCCAACAATATTACGAATAGTAGTCTGGCGTGCTTTGCGATAAATCGATTGATCTGCCATTTAAAGCTATGGAAACGGATCGATGATCGGGGTGTCCGCAGCGAACACCTTGATAATACAAATACATTCCTTACCAAAGCAGCTCAAACAGGGAAATATCGGTAATCGATCCACAGATTAAGAAACAATATACAAAAGCTATGAATATTCCGCTCACTTTGAAAATTTGGGTAAAAAAATTTGGGGGAAAAAAATTCACTTTGGAAACATGGGTCTAGAGTCAAGACTCTTAAAAAAATTGACGAGAAAAAATATCCTTGATTTGATTCGATTTTAGCTTGAATAGAGAGCCAAGCCTCTTAATATACGACGGCATGATACCTGCCCCTGCATTCAGTCTCGTAACGATTCATCTCGCGTCATTCATTAGATAGCAGCATACGGCATACGCGTTCGATGCATTCTACAGTTTAGAAGGGAGATTCCAGCTTTTCGAGCTGAGCTCCATGCAGACACCTAATTTCAAAACATTCACAGCGCAACCTTGCGGAAGCTCATATTGAAAACCGAAGTGATAAAAGTCACGAATCCATCAGTCACCCCGTCAAACTTATCGGTCGTTCCGGTTATTAAAGCGCAGAGGCGATGTTGCCCAGCTGGACGAAATATTGGTCCTCCGGTGATGAAGAGAAGTGAGCTTAGAAAACAGCAGCGGCAATGTTTAACAATTTTAGAAAACTTTAATTTTCTCATGGGAACGAATAATGACTCAGCGTCAGTGAGAAAAATTAATTGTTACCTCAAAGGTGATATCTATTAGACGAGAAATTTATCGTTGTCCCAAAAATTGGACTACGTTTTGTTATTGAGAAATACTCTACCGTACTAAAGGAAAACGCCGTGCGAATCTTCAGAGGTTACTATGTTTCATTTGATTAAAAACGAATTTACTTGGAAAATTATAAACATTTTGCATCGATTTTTTTAAAAGAATTTGTTAACGATTTAATATAACTCATCTGAAAATTTCAAGGAGAAATATGCACAACTTTCCGCAAAAAAAAAAAAAAAAAAAAAAAAAAAAAAAAACATTTATAGAGGGAAAATTTGGCGATTCTCGAATGTCCATATGGCGTTTTTCTTTATAGTACGGTAGTACTAGCATTGCGGTTTTTCTGGGATTGTTCCATTCCTACGTTTGGTCGTTTGACGAGACCGGGATCAAAACTTTCGGTTCTGTAGACCTTAAAACTCAGTAGGGACAGCAGTATCTAATGGGGATGCAACATGCTAAGGTCACCCAAATCCCAAGGAAAATGTACTGTTACCTCCCCACAACCGGAAATTCGAAAAAAAACGGAGCTGTAAAACGCGGAGCTCAACGGATATTTTCGTGTGTTTCAACCGCGCGCAGCTTATCGTCACAAGAATCGCACATCAGCGGAATAACGTGTCAAACTACACGATTTATCGGCGTGTAAGGTGAGGAAGGGGGGGGGGATCAGGGGGTGGCAACTAGCAGAGACGGGGTGGTTTTTCGGTCACCCACACTCCGAAATTGCCAGCTTTGGGAGAAAAGACGTCAATCCATTTTTTATTTTCTCTGTTTTTTGCACTCAGTCACTATGTGACGTAAATTCTAACAGGTATTAAAGAATGAAATCAATTTAATGACCAATGATATTGAAAGAATATAATACAAACAAAGGGTCATTAATATGGAAATAATAACTGAAAAAAAAGTACTGTCAAAGTATAAATTGCATTACCATGTATTTGTCTGCGTTGTGTGGGTTTTCAAAGGTTATTTTGAAGGCGGTTCCTGATTTTTTTTTTCTTCCTTTCTTTTTTCTGGTGAGGAGGAACGAATTACTTCAATGACGGCGTTTTCTTGCCGAAATGTATACCGAAAGAATATTACCTTTTTTTTCTGGATGTAGAACTGGCTATAAATTAAAATTCTAGTTGTTACCATTATTACTATAAGTATAAATACCGATGATTTCTCGTCTGCGTAATGACGTTTCCACCAGTTTTCAAATCGACGTTCATAACTATTCGGAGGCTTTCAAGTCGCGTCATAATGAACGGCGATTTGGATACAAATATTTTAACGCCAGTGTGAGCGGTGGAGTGTCTCGCATAATTGAAGGCGTTTTCAGGTAGTTACGTTCCAACACACGTTGAATTAAGGGATGTTTGTCCGTGAGGGAAAGCAATGATAGTATAATTTAGACCATTAAAAGAAGTAATTCTGAAATTTGTGCAGATTTCTTCTGATTAGGGCTTGCCGTCATAAATTTCAAATTGATCTCCTTTCAATAAGTCCATGTGCTTATCGGAAGGAAAAATTGGGGGATATCAATTTCTTTTTTTTTTATGCTTATAGCCTCAGTATTATTTTTTAAAAAAGGGCAACGGTTAATACAGCAGGCAATAATTTGATTTATGCAAAATGTCTATTCTTTCAGCATTTTAATAAAAAAATGACGATCATTTAAGTATATTCAGTTCTAATCACTAAGTAAACTAATTCTATCAAAAAACCTGTATTCGCTGAAATCATGAAGAATGTTTTTCTGGTTAATTGCCTTCACTGCAAGGACAAGGTTTCTTTCTTCTCTCTCCAACCCTCTCTCATTTATTTTCTCTCTGAATTTGGGACTATATTGTGTACCTGTTCTTTTATTACGTAGCTCTGAGGGCTTGTCTCCAGAGGTTCAGAAGCCAATATTTTTGTCAGGCTGTGGAATAGAAAGTATGGAACGGATGGAAATTTTGTCATGGGAACGGAGTTCCCCATGATATTAGAATCGTTCCGTTGATTTCGCTATGGGATTCCCTATACCTCTGCGACCTTGAGCGTTTCGCCCAGTCTCCGATTTTTGGTTGATTTTCCGATGTATCAAAAACCGTTGTATTTTTTAGCCAATCATGTCTCTACGTCAAGTTGTGTTGATTGGTAAAATTCGCTTTCAGCGAGTTTTTTTCCACCTTGAGATGTCGTGTCTGACTGGTAAATCTGCGCAGAACCACGAAGTTCCGTTTTTAGGCAAATTCTTTTTTTTGGGAGGTTC